TTTTGGTTACTTGGACATTGGAATGTCCCAAACTTATCATCCTTGACTATGGGGCAGGTGAGATAGAGCACTTACGCATATTGTATTTCTTTAGCACTCTCTCAAAGTATGCCTTCTGCGATAGTCCTAATGTTCCTTTGGACCTATCTCGATGTATCTCAATGCCAAGGACATACGAGGCTTCACCGAGGTCCTTCATGTCAAATTTTGTGGATGTAAATCTCTTGGTCTCATGCATAATATCTTTATCGCCGCAAGCCAATAGAATATGATTCACATATAGGACTAAAATTGTGAACCTACTGCCTTTAAATTTAACATATATGCAGTTGTCCACTTCATTTTCTTTAAAACCAAAAGTTCTAATAATCTTGTCGAACTTGAGGTACCACTTCCTTGAAGCTTGCCTCAAGTCATATATGGATTTCTTTAAATGACATGCCATATGTTCTTTTCCTTCCATGACAAAACCTCCAGGATGAGTCATGTAAACTTCTTCGTTTAAGTCACCAATTCAAAATATCGTCTTGACATTCATTTGATGCAGCTCTAAATCATAATGAGCTACAAGTGCCATGACAATTTTGAAATAATCTTTGGCTGGCACATGTGAGAAGATCTCCTTATAATCGATCCCTTCTCTCTGTGTAAAACCTTTTGCTACAAGTCTTGCTTTGAAACTTTCGACGCTCCCTTTGGAATCATATTTGGTTTTGTAGACCCACTTGCAGCCTACCCTTTTGGCTCCATCAGGAACTTCTACTAAGCCCTGAACATCATTCGAGATCATAGATTTCGATTCGTCTTCCATGGCCACCAACCATTTGGATGAGTCTTCACTTTTAGTGGCTTCCTTATATGAGGTCTGATCTTGTACCTTCCCTATGTCATTTTCATCCTCACACATGAAAGTGACATAATCGCTAGAGATGCCATTTTTCTTTTCCCAATGTGATCTTCTCATAGGCTCATTAATTAGTATGTGCATTTCTTCTTGCCCGAGAAGGTTGAGGATTAACACTAGGTTGAGGATGATCATTTGGCTGAGGGTCCTCATCATGCTGAGGATCTTCATTATGCTGAGGCTCCTCGTCAGATTGAGTATCCACTTCAGGTTTGGGATCACTAGTAGGTGTCTCATACATATTAGGCATAGGGATAAAGTTCTCTTGGATAGTCAGGGATGGAACATACACCCGCTTCTCCTCAAGATCAATCACCGTAACACTTCATTATCCTCAAAAAACACCGCTTGCCTGGTTTCCACAAAATTGATGGTATGACCTGGGCAATAAAAGCGATATCCTTTTTTTACGAGGGCACCCAATGAAAAAACAACTAACTGTCTTTGGGTCCAACTTCTTAATATGTGGATTGGTCACGTTAGCTTCAGCTGGGCAACCCCACACACGCATGATAATTCAAACTCGGTTTCTTTCCCGCCCACATCTCATAAGGTGTGCCCGGTGCTGACTTAGTTGGAGAAAGATTCAGGATGTGTGCATCTGTTTTCAATGCCTCCATAGAAAGACTTATTAGTAAACTTGCATGACTAAGCATGCTACATACCATATCCATCAGAGTGCGGTTGCAACGTTCAGTCACGCCATTTTGCTAAGTTCACCAGGCATTGAATATTGGGTAATAATTCCATTTTCAGCAAGATATTTCGAGAATGGTCATGGACTTTGCTCATAAGGAGCATGCCTGCCATAATATTCTCCCCACGATCAGAATGTACTACTTTGATCTTTAGATTGAGTTGATTTTCAACCTCGGCTTTATAAATCTTAAATTTTTCCAAAGCCGCTGAAGGAGTGGGATGTGAACAACTTGCCTTAGTGCATTGCTTAGGCTTTGGAGGATTCTTTTTGAAGAACTGTATTTTGTTAGGCACATCATTGCTATGAGCATTATTCTCATGCTTCCTTTTTTCAGAGTTAACATGGAAAGCTTGATCTTTCTGTTCACTCTCATTCTCTCTTCCTCCTGAACGCAATGTGCAATGAGTTCAGGTAGTTTCCATTTGATTTCAAGAGAATTATAGTTTATCTTGAATGGATTGAACTGTGAGGATAATGACCTAAAAACTAGGAGCACAAGAAGCTCTTCGTTCAAGTCACACTTCATGGTTTTAAGCTTTGCCGCGGCATTTCTCATACTTAAAATGTGCTCCCTCACGTGCCCATATAATATTTTGCAAGCAGCTTGTGCAAAAGCTCATCTACATACACTCTCTCTGAGCCCTTAAATTGTACTTCCACCGATTTCAAATATTCGGCGGCATTTCCTTTAGCGGGAATAGCACCTTTAATTAATCTCAGTTGAGATGGAGAAGTTCATAATTAGGAGCAGCATTCTATTTGACCTCTCCCACTTCTCAATTTTAGCATCATAGGCTTTCTTAAGCTCAACATACCCAGTGACACCCTTTTCAGGTTACACTAGTTTACTTTCCCTCAGTGCGGGGTCAACCTCATGCCATCCAAGTGCAATAGCAACAAGTCCTTCCATGTTTGGAAGTTGTTTCCCGTGAGTGGCTTGATGTTTTGAAAACCACGAGGACTGGGAGCTATCATCATTTCAAAATATCATAAGTAAAGGAAAAGAACATCATAATTAAATTAAATTGCATACAAATTAACCTACATTAGTTTGAGCAATTTTCATGCAAAAATCAACTCCAAATTATATCACTGTTGGGCATAAAATAATAAGGAATCAACAGGGTGATTCAAAATTGTAAAAGAACATTGGTCTCTATCACAAAAAAGGATAACATTTATATGCCATAAAATGGCACAAACATTAATTTCATAAGAGTTTTCTAAATAAAATTTCTCGTTGGTTCCATTTCATTTAGAAAACTAAAGCATAATTTATAACATAATTTTTCTAGCTATTTTTAATTTAATACAATGCAAAACATTTGGAGGATAATCATTACACCAAAAATGCACTGAACAAAAAGAAAAAAGAACGCCCAGAATTTTAGTTTGCCTAATAGCCCACGGCTACCCATTATGCAGCGGTCCAACAGCGAAAAACTCATAAAAGAAAAAACTGGTCACGCTGGGCCAAGACAACCTGGGCTGAGGCCCAGTCGCAAAAACGGCTCGTCAAGCGACCGAAGGCTCATACGATCTTGTCCATCGGATCGAGCCGATGGCCTCGATTGCCCCAAAGCGAAGCAAAACCAGGACCGGGTCAAACCCTAGCCCCCCTCCACGATTAACCCGGATCGACGACGACACCACGGTGGCGAGTGGCTCCCCCGCCATGGCGGCCCAGTGGTTACGCTCAACGAAGCAGCGTGCCGCGGACTGAGTCCGGGGCGCTCCTCCGGCGAGCGTGGCTACTGGCATCGTGAGCATGACGTTCTGAGGCGCGTGCAAGGAGGCATTTCACCAGTGTCTGTCGGCACAATCTTTTGGCGGGGATGGCCACGTGCTGAGGTGAACCACCCACGGCACGCGCGCATCCATTAGGGCACAGCGTCGATGGCTGCCACTCCATCATTCCACGCGACGTCCCGAAGGACGGCGATGTCCGGCTACGGCGTACACGCACGGCGGCGGCCGTGTGGACCCGGAAGGTCGGCGTCATCTGGGTGAGCCCGTCACCTTTTCTCTTCTTTCAATTTCATTCATCATTTGGGCTCTGATTTGGGATTTGCATTTCTAGGGTTTGAACAACATTGGGGGGGGGGATCTAGGGTTTCGGTTTCACACGAAATTGGTGAAAAATATTGGATTTTACATAATCATGGAATCCCCTCCTAATTGCTTAACCAAGCTAATAGTGCTAATTGAACATTTAACTTAAAAGCGGAAGCATGGCTTAATTACTCTAACCGAAAGGATTGAGCATCTTCAGTAGATAATTAGCACTAACTCGTAGCCTATTAGTCATTAACCGAAAAGTATAAACCCTAGGCATTAAGCATTGACTGTAACAGAGGAATTTAATCTTGACCATGAACCATAAACTTAAACCACAATCGTTAGTACGTAATCATGATCAATGATTTAAACATATCATATTTAGGGATCTAATTTAGGCTTAATTAGCTCAAGATCCATTGTTAGAAAAAAATCCAGTAGGATTGACGTGATTGGATCTCAAGCCTAGTCATTAGATCACCTAGTTGCATAGATCAGAGGGATAGTTTAGGATCTTACCACCAATGGAAGCAGCCATTAGTGTAGGCGATGCAAAGTCTCGTGCCCGCTCGATGCAGGCGTGATGCAGGCTCGGTGTAGATGCTCGCAGCAGGTAGCGGCGTCCCTTCGGGCGCGAGTGACACTGCCCTAGCACCGGAGTAGAGGTAGGAGAAGGTCTTCCGGTCGCACAACGCTCGCCCAGATCGGATTAGGGTTTTGAGGTTTAGGAGGGCAGAGTAGACGCACGTGAACATGTCAGGTCGTGCGTGGCCGGCTGCCACCTCTCTTTATATGTGGCGCTGGCGATCAGGGGACATAAACCATGTTGGTTTGGGTCAGCCCCGATCAAGGTGCGTTAGTCGGGGTCGAGGGGGTATGAACTTTGGTTCGTGACCACCTCCCCTTAACGTAACTTATATTCTGGTTTATCTCTTTGGCCCATTAGGCCTTAGATCAGTTGCAATAAATGGCGGTAGGTATGTCGTTTCATTTGGTTTCATTCTCCACCTCCTTCCAAAACCATGTCCTGCATTAACTCAATCAAATCAAATCATACCAAAACCTCAACTAAATCAAAACTTTATTTGCCTTCCCCACCCATAGCCGAATCAAATCAAATCATACCAAAACCTTAACTAAATCTAAAATATTCTTGCCTGCCCCTACCCATACTCAAATCAAATCAAATCTTACCAAAAGTCTAGAATATGGTGGGTGTAAGGTATATATCGGGCACGATTGATGCTGAACCACTATAATATGTATGCCCACGTTGCAATGCACGGGCAATTACAACTGTTTTTTAGAACATAATATCTTACATTGTTATCATTGCAGACCTCCCTCCAATCTATCAATGTGACAAGGGAGGATGAGTGGAGGTTACACCAAAGAGATGCGGAGGAGTGGATGAGACGTCGTCAACTTCCTAATGAACTGCGGGAAAGAGTTAGACGATTTATGCAGTTCAAGTGGCATGCAACTCGAGGTGTGCATGAAGAGGATGTATTGAAGTTTCTACCAGAGGATCTACGACGTGACATTAAACGCCACCTTTGCTTGGAGCTTGTTCGCCAGGTAACTACTTCTACACGATTTTTTTTTGAAAGATAGGGGTTTCCCCCTGCCCTAACTTTTATTAAAAAGCAAAGGCGAAACCAACTACTTCTTCTACACGATTATATGTAAATACACAACGAATCCACGTTTGAAACTTCCTGGTTTGCCTTTTGGACTGGACTTCTTGTTATCATTTGTCATGTGCTAATCTCTCTTCTATTGTGAGGTTTCAGGTTCCCTTTTTCTCCCAGATGGATGACCAACTTCTAGATACCATCTGCGCGCGTCTTGTATCATCACTGTGCACAAAGGGCACATACATTGTTCGTGAGGGTGATCCGGTGACTGAGATGCTTTTCATCATTCGTGGAGAACTAGAAAGCTGGACAACAGATAGCCTCACAGGCTTGTTCACTTCAATTAACCTTAAAGCTGGTGATTTCTGCGGTGAGGAACTTCTTGGGTGGGCTACTGTCCCGAAGCCTACCGCCAGGTTGCCATCATCCACTCGTACAGTGAAGGCGCTCACAGAAGTGGAGGCCTTCTCACTTAAGCCGGAGGATCTGAAGTTCGTGGCCATGCAATTTAGCAGTTTGAACAGCAAGAAGTTGCAGCACAGTCTCCGTTTCTACTCACACAAGTGGAGAACCTGGGGCGCGCGCCTCATCCAAGCTGCTTCGCGGCGGTACAGGAGGAGAAAGATGGCCAAGGGCCTGAGATCAGGAGACGCTAATGGTGAAGACGACCCTCCACGGAAGAAGAATCTGTAAGAACGATGGCCACGAAAATAATGGCTGGGAACATGAAAGGGCTTCAGGCCATAAAAGACCTGTCTACACTAAAGAAGCCGGAGGAGGAGCCAGATTTCCCAGCTGAACCTTATGTGTAAGGTAGTAACTTATATCCTGTCCATAACGGGCACTGATCCTGCTAGCTCTGCTGCCAGTTAGTCAGTCTTTGCCGCATGGAGGGGACTATACCTAAAAAGATTTTCGCGCCGCTTTATATATAAAGCACCGACTAGAGATACAAATCCGGATACAACACACTATCAACCCACACAACACACACATCCAAGGCAAAATACAAGGATTTGATGCATTGCAACACTACCCAATCGACCACCAAGCACATTACCAAAAGGAACCACTTGAGATCCACGAGGACCTTTCGAGACCGAGAAGAAGTGAAGCGGGACAATGACGAAGCATGGACACCAAGGCGGAGCCTTCAAGAAGGGCATGGCACCGAAAGTCGCCACCGCTCGATCCCGAAGACCAAATTTTCACGCGGAGCAACGTGGAAAGAAGAGAACACCACGACGGAGCCTTCATGAAGGAAACGACGCCCGCGGCCGCCGCCACCATCGGCCGGAGGAGACCGGGCAAGTTATGCACTCCGGTGTTAACCCTCCGCCAAACCACCATGCTATGCCAAACATCACCAACCATGTCACCCATGTGACCATGGCTGCCTGACCGCACCCAAGATGCATGCTCCGCCCACGAACACCACGTCTCCTGCCGCCTGGGCCGCCGCTCAGCATCCAAGCAATTCCATGAACACCCAAAGGCCTTGGCTTTGGCCTAACTGGCAGCCCCCGCCAATGGAGCAACCATCAACTGCCCTACCTCGTACATCGCCAGAACCCCGCCAAAGGGCACACGACCGAGGAAAGGGGGAGGAGGAGCAGACGCATCCGGACCAGTGCACCCCCGCACCGGTGACGGGTGGCCATCGGGGCCTCCCATCCCCCCGAGGACTCCCCACCGGACACATCTCTGTGTCGCCTCACCATGGCGGCCAACGCAGCTCGACGCGAGGCCACCAACGACAGCTCGCCCAACCATCGACAAGGAGCGTGAAGCCAACCCTCATCCGCAGCCAAGAGAGCTCACCGGAGAGCCACCCCGCGCCGCCCGCCGTTGTCCAGGGGCCGAAACAGGGGAGGCCAGACTAGAGGTCAGCCAGCACGCACCACCAGCTCGCGTGCCCGCCCCGAGTCCGTCCACCGCGCCGCACGCCCACGCCCGCCGGCGAGGCGCCGACGCGCCAGATCTGGCCGCGCACAGACCAGGCCGCCACCGCAGCCACGAGCGAGAGCCACACCGTGAAGCCCACCGCGCTGCCGCCAGGCCCTGACTACCCCGCTGCCAGGGCCTGTCGTCGCGCCTCCGTGCCCCTCACCAGCGCGAAGCACTGCCGGACGCCGTTAACTCGCGCCAACTACCTCCGAGAGGGATGGAGATGGAGCCCGCCGCCATCGGCGCCGGCAGGCTGCTAGGGTTTCATCCCTAGTCGCCACACGGGAGTGACGCTGGGAGGGGAGGGGGGTGGTGCCGTTTAGACTAAAAAAAGAATGTTTGACAAGGTTCCCCTGGAGGGGACTGTAGTCTGGTTATAATTAGGATTCGCAGAACCGGCCTTTGATCCGAGGATGCTAATTACTCCACGTTGTACATTCAGATGTATCTGTGTTTGTAACATCATTGGCACGCGCCGCTATGCTGACTGCCAGAGCTTCAAATAAATTCTTAAAAAATGCTAGACATACAAAGACTTACACGCTTTTACACGTTCCTTTCATTTAACAACCAATCACAAACCTCTCCCCCCCTAATTTTCAGGGGGGTGGGCCGCCCCGCTCACCTATTAACCAATCAAGATTAACCATCCTGTAAAAGCCTGTAAATCGTTTGTACGTGTAGCATTGCCGTAAATTCTAACGTTGAAGCCATAGTCTGACCTTGCTATTCTTGTTTAAGATATGAGCGACTCCACTTCGATATTAGCAGCTCTGATGCAGAGGCTGGGCGTAATCCTTCTTTTTTATTTTTATTATAAAACTTCGATATCAGCATCATTTAGGTTCTGGATATGCTTTCCACTGCGCTTTCATTAACGTCATATGCTGTCACAGTGGCAGCAGTGACCTATGGAGGATTTGGACGACAAATTTGAAACCTGTGAAGGCAATCATATTTGGTGACCGAGTGTGGAGGCCGGCCTATGCATGCGTGAATCTATTTAAGGTTGTAAGAGCAACTCTAGTAGACCCCGCAAAAAGGCCCCGACCTGCAAAATAACCGTCAAAATACGGGTCGGCACGGAAAATCCCGTCCGAACAGACCCTGCAAACGCAGTCGGCCCGCAAAAAAAATTGAGGGGCGCATCAAAAACTCGTCCCCAACCCGCGAATACACGCCCCACTCCCCCGGCCCGTCGGTGCCCTCCATATAGCGGGAGCGGTTGGTGGGGAGGACATTTGAGTCCGCGCTTTTCCCCAGCAACCACCTCCCCTCTCCACCTCGCCCCACCGACCCGCCGCCGCCCAAGATTCTGGCGAAAGTAGCTGGTGGGAGCACGTCGAAAAGCCGCCACACGCACGAGGTTGCCCTCCGCCACCCCCTCCCTCTCCTCCTGCGTCGGCAGGCCGGGAGCAGCGGATCTGCGGCCCTTCAGCGGCCGAATTTGGCTTTCCCAGCCGCCGGCGGCTGCGCCAAGCGATGAAATGGTCGGGGAGCACCTCGCGCAGCGCCGGCAAAGGCGCATCTCCGCATGCTGGTGCGGCTTCGGCCTGTCGCCGCCGCCGCCGGTTTGCCGGCATGGATTCGGCCGGCCGGCCGCCGGGCTCGGCCCCTCGCGCAGAGGCTCTGTGGCTCGCCGATGCCGCTCATACAGTGCGGCGACTGCGCATGGACAGTGCAACGACTGACTTCGGGCACGCCGAAGCACCCCGAATGGGTGTTCTTCAAATGCGAAAACTACGGGGTGAAGGAAATATGCCCTAGTGGCAATAGTAAAGTTGTTATTTATATTTCCTTATTTCATGATAAATGTTTATTATTCATGCTAGAATTGTATTAACCGGAAACTTAGTACATGTGTGAATACATAGACAATACATAGTGTTCCTAGTATGCCTCCACTTGACTAGCTCGTTAATCAAAGATGGTTATGTTTCCTAAACATAGACATGTGTTGTCATTTGATGAACGGGATCACATCATTAGGAGAATGATGTGATGGACAAGACCCATCCGTTAGCTTAGCATTATGATCGTTACAGTTTCATTGCTGCTGCTTTCTTCATGACTTATACATGTTCCTCAGACTATGAGATTATGCAACTCCCGAATACCGGAGGAACACCTTGTGTGCTATCAAACGTCACAACGTAACTGGGTGATTATAAAGATGCTCTACATGTGTCTCCGAACGTGTTTGTTGGGTTGACATAGATCAAGATTAGGATTTGTCACTCCGTGTTTCGGAGAGGTATCTCCAGGCCCTCTCGATAATGCTCATCACTATAAGCCTTGCAAGCAATGTGACTAATGAGTTAGTTGCAGGATGAAGCATTACGGAACGAGTAAAGAGACTTGCCGGTAACGAGATTGAACTAGGTATGATGATACCGAAGATCGAATCTCGGGCAAGTAACATACCGATGACAAAGGGAATAACGTATGTTGTTATGCGATTTGACCGATAAAGATCTTTGTAGAATATGTAGGAGCCAACATTAGCATCCAGGTTCCGCTATTAGTTATTGATCGGAGATGTGTCTCGGTCATGTATACATAGTTCTCGAACCCGTAGGGTCCGCACGCTTAACGTTCGATGACGATTTGTATTATGAGTTATGTGTTTTGATGACCGAAGTTTGTTTGGAGTCCCGGATGAGATCACAGACGTGACAAGGAGTCTCAAAATGGTCGAAACATAAATGTTGATATATTGGAAGGCTATATTCGGACACCGGAATGGTTCCGGAGAAGTTTGGGTATTTT